TCACGGAAAAGGATCATCCCACCAGGACGCAGACAAACTCGCAGGTTGCGTACGGTCTGCGAAAAACTGTTGGAGGTGATAAATACCAAAAAAATGCAAACCTACTCGGCCGGACTGATAGCAGAGAGGACAAAGATCATGCAGATCACATCGATACTGCCTGGTGGGAAGGGCCAGGTGAGGTTGGGCTTTGAAATGTCCTGTTGAAAGGCCAAGCAGTGCTCGGGCTTATAGAGGTAGGAACTGCGCACGAGGGCAACCGCCTTTTCGGAGAAGTCGCATGCGTAGACGAAGGTGTCTTCGACTCCGCGTCTAGAAAAGTAGGCATCATAAAAGCTCGGCAGTCTTACTCTTTGGCTTCGAGTATGGGGGTAACACTGTTTCCGGCTCCACATCCCACCTCCAGAATTCGCAAGGAAGCGGACTGGCCGGGAAATTGTACGTGTTCTGTCGGTCGGAATGGTCCTGACGCCAGCGAGCGGTCCAGCAGCTCCGGGAACTCTCGAGTGAGCCACTTGCGGTTTTTAAAGAAATGACTCTCGTGGTGGTCGTAAAATTCGTCCCAAAAGTTGGCTGCATTCTGAAGAAATTGTTCTGAACATTATCTGGGGGTGATTTTCCAAGGCGAAGCGATTACCTCGCTTTTCTTCCGGCACGGGCTCTTGGGCTGCCAGATCTATCATATTCTGGGCTTCCCGTTCCATTTCTTCTGTCCACTCGTACTGGTCCCTTTAGAATGAAAGGGGGGGGGGGTATTTAGACGTCAAAGATACCTGCGCTTTCAAATGATATCAAAATCCCTTATACATACACCAAAAACAACTTATGTATCATAGGCTGAAATTGTTCTAGAGTTACAGAACTGCATAGGAAAAGACTCGCTACTAGGGCACATAGACCGCACCAGAAGAATGGAATCGGTTGCGCACATCTATGCAGCCTTCGAATCATCCTGCAAACTTGAATAAGTCAGACTTAGTGGAAAGACTGCTTTCATCCATCAATAAGCGTATTCGAGACTGATGAAAGAAGAAATTGCGGTGGGAAGAGGAACGAATGAGCAGTGAGGGAATGGTTGGTCACTCGGCTATCTCAAACAAAACGGAAGGAGACAGATGAAAGGAGGGGTGAGGAACGGTAGTTTTTTACGGACCCAGTGACCACGATACGCCGGGTGGACTGCATGGACCAGTTTTTGTCTAGAGCACCCTTTATAGTGCTTTGATTTGTCCCCGAATAGGCAGTAGACTACGTGAGTCATGACTGGTGCTTTGAGCAAATGAGTCAATTTCGGTTTGGCCGCCTATCCGATTTAATGTCGCCTTTTCGGAGAAGCATTAGGGGAACGGGAAGGGGTTGGAGTCGGGGCCGACTTCACTCGACCTACAACCTCAGTTTTAGCACATCGTGATGATTAAAAACCACGTAGGATTGTTTATGGTGAAAAAAATACGCTAAAGTGTCATAAGAACACGTCCACTGTTAGAGGCGATCAACAATCTGATGGCGCAATTGGCCGCGGCAGCATGAACTTGCGTCTAGGAGTGCCACCACGCCTCCCCATGTGTGACATTTGTTATGGGATGCGCAGAATCTGCACAGTCAGGCTAAATTAAGCAGTGTCCCAATATGGTTCCCATTTGGGTCAGCACATCATCCGCGTGGCCCGTTATGGGAATACATCTCGAGTATACCACGTGAGTGATTAATTTTTTTAGGAACATGACGCCATCATTAACTAAGTCAGAATCAGTATGCCCTGCACATTTACAAGTCAGACTCCATCTCAGCCACAACCAGTAACTTTAATTTGGAGGAAGTGGAAAACCGCTAAAAGGTGAATTAGACGTAAGGCTCCAAAGTACACAGTTGATGGCGTTTAATTATAGGAGGCGCAGCTAGATGAAATTATTGGGTAAAATCAAACATGAGATGGGTAGAAAAAGGTAGCTGACAATAAATAAAATAAAAACGAAATAATTATATACCATGCATTCTCATTAAAAACGTCATCGTCTTCCTCGAGCCGCCGGTTACCAAATGACGCCATTAGGACAAGCGGAGAGGCGAAAGGCAAAGTCTTTGTTTTTGAGTGACAGATTCAGTTTTCTTAAATAAAAGGTGAAAACGAAAGGTGAAACCAACAAAGGTATTGCCATGTACGAGAGAAGTATGCCTTGAGTATTGAATCCACAAAGTTGTCATAAAATGAGACTGAGCACATTTCTGAAAATGCGTCATTTCAATAAACTCTGTTTGTGACAGATTTGTAAAACTAATTCGTGGGAGTTACTGCCAGCGTGCAAGTAAACATATGAAAGTAAAAAACGCCTCGATATTAACTGAGGACCTTGAACTATTTCCCCACTAGTCTTAGTCTCTTTTGGTGTTTTTGGCTGTTAACAAATCTACAAAACTGTGATGTGTCCCAAACTACGAATGCTAAAATTGTACAACCGCTTATACATATGATGGAGCACGAAGTTCGAGACCAC